GAAATATCGGCCTTCTGTGTTTATTTTTTCTTCGTATTTTTTAAGAAAATAATTTCTTATCCAGAGATAAGATGCGATAAACTCTTTTACTCCCGACCTGAGTAATCCCCAATTAAATTGATAAGGTTTCATTGCTCTGGTCTACTGATAAAATCTTAAGTCATTTCAATCACACTCAGATTACGGTCATACATGACGTTAAGATTTGAAAAACGAAATCTCAATCACATACTTTCTACATATTATAGTTTTAAATAACTACACTATCAGAGAGAGAAAGAAACTGGTCATAAAGGCATCCATCGCATGCTTTAAAGATTTTCCTAAAGTCGAAAAAAATCCCCCTTTTACCATTCCGCTACAGTGGGTAATTTTACCGTATTTTAGAGATAAATTGAAAAGGAAAAAATTCGGAAAAGAATATAATAACTGCTGCCTAATTGTTGAAAGATCGTCATGCCCGAGCAACACTGGTATATCCCTGACATCACAAATGATGCGGTGTATATTCTGATATAATACCAATTTTATTTTGATATCATGCTGAACGAATTTCATTACTCTAAGCTCTCTGACCGCCTAAATATCCACGCTTCGTCACTGTTTGCTCCACTGTTCTACCGGGCCAATCTAGATGCTTTTTGTAACTCGCAGCTATCGACAAGTATCTCTAGATAAGCCCTCTCTTTTCAGATTTTTGAAAGAATATATATTCCCAAATCCTGGAAATCGGAAGTATGAGTATCGGAATAGTTTACTTTGAGTGATAAAATTGTGAATTTTCCCATTTATGAGCCTTCTCCATTCAGATTAAATCAAGGGCCGGAACAGGTGCGGAGCGCGCCCTCTGGGGGTTGGGGTGCGTAGTTGCCAGAGGTGTAGCCAGCCCCCTAATGGTAAGACAAGGGTGCAAAATAGTTAATCTGTTACCAACATGATAGTCCAGTACCACATGTACAAATAAGAGGTCCCGTGTGCAGTTTCGTGGGTAAAATTGTTGTGATATGTCATTCTCTTCTTTAGGATGTCTAGAATCAGAATTTCGATGGTGTCAAGTTCAAAAATTGAACCGACGCCCAGAATTCAAGATGGCGTCCAAGATGGCCGCCGCCATGGTGAAAGTTTTAAATTTTGCGGATAGCGTCGAGTCAGATGTCGATTCCTATGTAAAATGACACGAGGAATCCGAATATCACATTTAAAAACACCCCCGACCCAAAGGAGGGCTCCAAATCCAAGATGGCGGCCAAAAATACCAC